TCAGGCAATTCACTCACCTCAGCCTCCCAAAGGCACAGGATTACGGGCTGAGCCACCGAGCCCGGCTTAAACTATATTTTCTAATCTAACTTCTTTTTCGCAGCACCAGATTGCACATCAGATACCCACACCCCAGTGGACCTGACCTAGCATTCTGGAGGTCCTGCTGGGTGTGTGACATAACAGCTTTGTGGATGTCCGTGTCCGATTTCTAATTTCATGAATGAGGTGTAGCGGTTATTTCCCTTGGTCCCCTCTTTCTGACAGAAGCCTCCATCCCCCGCTTCCCGGCTCTTCCGGGCTCTGTGGTCCTGACTGCTCCCTGCCTCCCAGGAGGGCTTCCTATTGGGCCTGGAGTCATGGGCTGCACCTTTACTTTCCAGAGAGAGGATCTGAGGGTCCCTGCGAGCCGGATCCTGAGGTGCCGGGAGGGCTGGAAGCCGGCGGTTTTTGATCCAGCGCCAGGCCCTCGACTTCGGCCAGTCCTGCACGCACCAGGTCAGGCCCTCAGCCGGACCACATCCATCCCGTCAAGTCTGGTCGGTGCCTTTGAGTCTTAGGCATTGTCGACATGGCACTTGCTCCCTGCAAGCAGCCAATGACTCGGGGGTGGACAGAGATCCCAGATGAGGGCACTTCCCTTGCGAGGCAACCCGCCTCCCACCACTTCCAACACTTGTACCCACAAGACTGGTGGGCGTGCCCTGGGGTGACCAGATGTGTCCCCAGCCCAGCTCAGGGGCCTTCAGAGAGGACAGCAGGCAGGATGGGCGACAGGGATCCGTTCGGACCATCCCAGGTACAATGAGGTTTCCGTCTTGGCATCACTGGAATAAAGTGCACCTGGGCAGACGAGGGCATTCAGCAAAACGTGGACAGGCCTCAGGTAAGGGGCAAGGGTGTAGGGTGCACAGGCTGGGGCGTGGGGGATGCTCACCTGGGGTGGGGCTGCTGTGTATGTGTGTTGTAAGGGACACACACCTGGGGGATGTTTCTCTGTGTGTGTGTGTTTGGGGTGCACACACCTGGGTGGTGTTGCTGTGTGTGTGCCATCTGCATTTGTGTGCGCAGGTGGTATCGGAGGTCCTTCCTGGCCTCAGGGTCCTCATCTGACATTGTCCCCTTGGCTGCTGAAGGGGCTGCGTCCTGTCTCCCCCAGCTGCACCCAGATATGGCCTCTGCCCAAGACTTTGGGGAAGTCCTGCTGGTCTCTAAAACCCCCTTCAAGGATCCTGTGTTGCCTGTGGCTCTGTGTCTTGGTCGTGTTCTGTGATTTATATGTTCCGTGTCTCTCTGGTCAAGTTTCAGGATCTGACCGTGTGCCCTGTGCTCTTGGGATGGGTCCAAGTCCGTGTGCCCCCCCGTGTTGTCCACGGGATGCTCCTTCCAGCCTTCTGTTCCCCTTCCGAGTCCTGCTCCCCTAGGGGAGACTGTGCTCTCAGGGTGACCCACGGACACCGGCCCCCTCTTCTGGGGGTCTGTGTTGGCGCCCAGGGCACGGTGCCCTTCTCTGTCCCCTTCTGGAGGCCAAGCTCCTCATCCCTGGTGGTCCCAGATCTGGCCCAGAACCAGGGGCTTCTCCAGCCAGGCAAAGATCCTGCCCGTAGGGTGTGGGCTCTGCGGGGACAGTGGAGGTGCCCTGGGGGGCGTGGCAGACTCAATGGGCATCAGATGCCAGGTTCGCAGCTCCGTCCGGCACGGCTGTGGCAGCAGGTGGAGGTGCTGGCCGGTCCTCCTGGGAGCTGGCCCCAGAGTCTGGCACCCCCAGGATGTTCCTGCCCTCTGGCTGGCCCCCTCCGGCCTCCCCAGTCCCCAGGGCCCCCATGCAAGAAACAGCACACAGCAGTGGAGGGGGGTCTGCCAGCTTTATTCACAGACCCCAGGGAACGAGGTCCACAAGGACAGAGACATGGGGGAGGGGCCCAAAGCCCCAGGGAGAGCCTGAGTGTGGGGGCGGAGCAATGTGGTGTCCTGCAGGTGGGCCCAGGAGAAAGCGGGGGCTGAGGGTCTCCGCCCGGGGCGTCCTCCCTGGCCCGGCTACTTCCAGCGCCCGCCGACCTTGCCCTTGGCCGGAGTCCCAGCCTTCTTGCTGCTGCAGATGGGAAGCAAGGTGTTCTTCAGCGGCCGAGGGCAGCGACACTGAGTCCCTCCCCGGCCCCGGCCTGGGCGCCAGGCCCTCAGCCCTGATGGCTTCTCCCACCAGCCCCACTCCCGACACACACCCAGCTTCAATCCAGGCAGCGAGACTCACCTGTGCCTGCCGGGCCTGAGGGTTATTAGTGGGGTTAGGCGGGGGGCTGGTGTGGCCGGCCTGGGCGCCCTCCCTCTGCCTGCCCTGCCTTGCCTGGGCCAGGGAAGGCCGCCTCAAAAGGTGCTCTGGCCTGGGAAGAGCCTGGGCCTCTCCGGGCAGTGGCCTCTGGGGAGTGGGGGTTCCCGGGAGCCAGGCCCGGGTGCCCTTCGGCCTGAGCCTGGCAGACGTGGGTGCAGGCTCAGGGCCAGGCAGGCAGGTGGACGGGGTGCGAGACTGAGCCTGACACGCACTCCCAAGCAGGCACACATGCACACACCGTGCCCATGCACACCTCGCCGGGTCGCCTGCTCCTGAGGGGGCCTGTGACGGCCCCTGATGGCATGGCAGGGGCTGGGAGGCCGCCAGGTTGCCCCCACCGGCTTCCCCCTGTGCAGGAGGAGCCCGTCCTGGGGAGCCGCAGGAGCAGGGCCCATAGGAGGAGGGGCAAACCCCGGAATACATGGACATTCCCTGGAGCCCTGCCATGCTACGTCCCCCGGGGCGTGTAAGCCGCTGCCCAGTTGGGCTCAGGGACAGTGCGCCAGCACGGCATCCCCATGAGCGCCTCTGTGCAGGCCCTCAGGGTGGACGAGTAGCTGTCCAGGGGGCTCCCACTACCCTGTGGGAACATGGCTTTATGGGCAGAGGGTCACCCTTCTGAGGAATCGGTGGCTCTCCCCATCCCAGAGGGGCTGGTACCAAGTCCAGGCCTTTCCATCCCTGTCCCAGGTCCCTTCTGCCGGGACACACCGGCGGGACGCCAGGGGTCCACTTCGAAGGCCACGAGTCACCTCGCCTGGGGGCCCCTGGCTGCCCTCTCCCCGAAGCCAACGCCAATGCCAAGGAAGGGTGTCCCCAGAGAGCCCCGTCTGGCTCCCTCCTCCCTACTCCGCTGTCCTCCTGGGCTCCCTAGGTCCCTGGGCACAGGGCCGGGAGGTGCTGGCCAAGCGGCCGATCGAGTTAGTCTGGTTACTGCTCCACTGAGGCCAGCCACCCCTGGCCCTCGGTCGGGGGCTGGCCGAAATGGCTGGGCCCCGGGCGGGGAGAGTGGCGGCCAGCCTGTGGGGCCCTGTACCGCCTGCGGGGCACAGAGTGAGGTGACAGGGCTACTCACTGCTTCTGGGCCTGGTCGATGCGGCTTCTGAGAGTGGTGATCTGCAAACAACACAGAGACTCACTGTGACAGGCGCGGGGCCGGCCGGCATGGGGATGGGCGTGGACACGCCCGTCTCCACCTCGGGGTGGGTAGACCACGGTCTCCTGGGAGGGCTGCCGGCTCCCTTACTGTGTCCTGGCTCCCTGGGCGGGAGGACATCGTCCCTCGGCCCTCGGGCTGTCTCCAACCGACTCTCGCAGGCCGGCACCGGCCACACACAGCAGCTCGGCGCTGACCACTTACCTTCCAGCCTGTGCAGGGCGTGGGGCGGGGGGCGTGGAGGGGGTGG